ATGGTGTGTGCAAATACGATTCAGAGAGTGTGGGTGGGTGATGATGACCTCAAGAGAGAGATGGAGGTGGCTCTGGCCCTGCCCATCTCTGACATCTGGCTCCCAACAGATTATCCCCAGGGGCACGTGGGCCTCAACAGAAAAAGTTCATCGCCCATAATTTGTACATTTTGCCATAACTCTGGGTCTCTTGAGAAGATACTGAGAAGGCACATCAGGCTCATTGGAAGGGCTTGAAGACCATTTGGGTCGCTTCCAACTCTGCAAGTCTATGATTCACGTGGAAAGCTTGTTTGAATAAGCAGTTGTGTTGTTGCTGTTTTATCATTATAAGCTTTGGGGGCTGGGTTTCAGCTGCATAAAGATAACCAGTGCATTGCTCCAAACAAAAAAGTAACTGGTGTGATTTTGATGCATCTTATGAAGGGAACAAGTCATTTCATAGACTTGGCTGGAGCCCACAGTGGAGTGGGAGGAACAGCCTGCATGGAAGTGGGTTTCTCAGCCTCTTGTTATTGCAACTTGTTTAAGCAGTCCCCTGTCCTGTGTTTCTCTTGCCAACGGTGTTCAATGGAGCCAAGCTGAACTGTGGCTGTGAAGTGGACCGCAGCCAACGTCGCCCTGCGATGCAACTGAAGCTGCTATGCTGTCTTGCTCTAACGTGGGAGTTGAAATGTTGACAGATGCTTCCCACATGCGATAGGGGTGGCGGGAGGAAGCTTCTCATTCCCCGCGTTGTGTTTTGCAGGTTCAGTGCTGGCCGCACGTGCTTTGTGCAAATGCTGTTCTCACGGGTGTGAACTTCCAACAGGGGAGCCAGGCATTACAGAAAGCAAATGTGGAAAAGCACCATCGGAATAATTGTTTCAAGTTTTGAAATGCCTCTCTTACGACCCCATTTCAGCATTGGTTGTGGAGGTGGTGGTGGTGGCGGAACCCTCCTTGCAGTGTTTTTCCTCTGCACTCAGCAAAGGGGGTGGCCCAGGGAGCAATTGTTGCCTTGTGAGATAAGGAAGGGCCATTGCTGAGTGGCAGATTGCATGCAGAAATGCCCAAGGCCCCAGCTGGTATGTACTGAAGTTCTCACCCTGGGCCAGCAGGGGGATACTGTAGATAGTTATGCAAATAAGGGATCGAAAGTGACGTTCAGTGATTGGATAGTTTTAGAAAATTGTTACAGTTACATTGTACTGGAGCTCTATAGAAGCAGGCTGACTGAACCCTTCAGTTCAGTTCTGTCCTGGCCTGTGAATAAACAAGAGCTGTTTGAAGAATCACTGTGTCGTCTGATATGTTCACCCACAACTTAACACCAGCAGCTCCAAGTAGGACTGTGAGAGACTGGCTGAAACCCTAGGAGCTTCTGTCAGCTAGTCCAGGCAATACTTAGCTGGATGGACCAGTGGCCTGACTCAGTGTAAGGCACATTCCTGTGTTCCTAGAAGAGTTGGAAGACACACTCATGGCTCGTTCAGGGCAATCCGGAATGAAAGCATCTTTTACAAATTTGTTCAATGTGTTTTCTGTTTGTTTGGGGTAAGAGCCATAGTTCAGGGATAAGAGTACATGCTCTGAGTGCAGAAGGTCACAGTTCAATTCCCAACAACTCCAGGTAGAATTGGGAGAGACCACTTCTTAGGACAGCCACTGCCAGTCAGTGTAGACAACACTAGATGGACTGATAGTCTGGATTGTTATAGAGTAGCTTTCTTTGTTCCTATGCTAAGAGTGAAATTTAGAATAGGAAGAAAGAGTAGGCCTGGTTTTCATAGCTGGACAAGACTTCAGCATCTTGTACTCTGTAACTTTATTGGGTGTTTGCTTTTAATAAAGAGGGCGGGGAGCTGCCTTTTACAGAGTCAAAACCACTCAGTAGTGTCTGCACTGACTGACAGCAGCTCCTCAGGGTTTCCAGGGGTCTCTCCAGTTGTACCTGGAAATGCTGTCTGGGATTGAACCCAGGACTTTCTGCAGACAAAGTGGGTGTTCTTCCACCGAGCTGCAGCTCTTCCTCAAAGAGAGAGATATGATGGCTGTCCCCAAGTGCTCTGCTCCTGGCATCTCCTCCTCTCCGGTTCAACTTCCTCCGTTCAATTCATTATCTCCCTTCCTTACAAGATTAGTATTTTATTTAAATGATAAAAAATGCATGTTCCAAATGTTCTGGAATGGTTTATTATTCTGGCCGAATCCTCTCCTTTCTACCTCCTGCTCATCTGGATGTAAATTAGATATAAATTGGGCAGCTCCAGGGTGCCTTGTGGTGCAAAAGGAGGAGAGGATTTGGCTCTCTTGGCTTTCAGGTTGAGCCAAGAATTCTCCCTTCCGTCTCTTTACCTTTGATGGAATATTTATAATGCTCCCCTGACACATCATATAAAGAGTATGGATTTTGTCACGTGCAGAGAGGGAGAGAGACCCTGAAATAAGGTCAAATTAAGCCAGAGCCTTTAAAGATACTCAGATTTGGTTTTGCTGTAGTGAATGCTGCTTCCTTATTTACATGGTCTCTGGGGGAAGAATTCTGGTGATGTGTTTTTTCTTTTCTTTTAAGAGTGCTAATGATGCTATCTCGCTGGGTTAACTCAATTGATTGAAAGATTTGTCCAGATGTCTGATAAGGAGTCCGGCACCAATGTTTAGTTTCTAAATGCAGAGGTGTTGAGACTCAAGATTTCCTGGGAGCCTGTGGCTGCTTGTGGTCATTCCCTGGCAAGTCACTTAGTTTATGCTCAGAGGCATCACCTCCCTTACTGCTGTTTTCTGTGCTCACCCTTAACATAAGAAGAGCCTGCTGGATTAGGCCAATGACCCATTTAGTCCAGAATCCTGTTCTCACAGTGGTCAGCCAGATGCCCCAATGGGAAACTTTCTAGCAGGACCCAAGCACAAGAGCACTCTCTCCTCCTCCATAAATTCAGAAGCATTGCTGCTTCCAATTGTGGAGGCAGAGCATAGCCCTTGTGGCTAGTAACCATTGATTACTTTCTCCATGAATTAGGCTAATCCCCTTTTAAAGCCATCCAAGTCGGTGGCCATCGCTGTCTCCTGGGGAAGACAGTTGTCTCCTGGGTAAGTGAGTTGTATGGTTTGACTATGCGCTGTGTGAAGAAAGACTTACCGTATTCTTCGCTCTATAAGACGCACCAGACCATAAGACGCACCTAGTTTTTGGAAGAGGAAACAAGAAAAAAAAATATTCTGAATCCCAGAAGCCAGGACAGCAAGCAGGATCGCTGCAAGGCAATCCCGCTGGCTGTCCTGGCTTCTGGCTTAGCCGTGCGCAGCCTCTCCCGGGCAGGGGATGAAGGCTCCCCTTGCCCAGGAGAGGCTGCATGAGACTAAGGCTCCCCCAAGAGCCGCGCTCCCTTTAAAGAGGCTGCCCTTCTCCCTCCTTGGGGAAAAGCCCCGAAGAGCCGCACACACATTCCACACGGCTCTTTAAAGGGAGCGCTGAGCAGAGCCTCCCGCCTGCATTCACTCCATAAGACGCACACACATTTCCCCTTACTTTTTAGGAGGGGGAAAGTGCGTCTTATAGAGCGAAAAATACGGTAATTTTATCTGTCCTAAATCTTCCAACATTCAGGTTCATTGGATGTCCATGAGTGCTAACATTATGAGAGGGGGAAACAGACTTTTTCCTGGCAAAAACAGGCCTAGGGGACAAGAGTCCTGGTCAACCTGGCTGCATACCAAGCCCTGTTCAAGAGACAAGTCTATTTTTGAGAGAGCGCGTCTGAAATTGGCAGAGACAACAGCTCCTCTCTCTCTTATCCCTGTATCCCCTTCCATAGGGAAAAGAGATAAATCCATCCCTGTTTACTATGCAGTAAAAACAATGCATGATGTAGTGGGTGTATTGCCAGGACTTGTTCCTTTTTTTTCTGTTGCTGTAAATCCAGGGGACACGATCGCCCTGAGAGCCAGTCAGAGATTGGAGTGCCCTATCCTCTCTGCCAACACAGCCCCAGTCCATGATCTAAAGGCCTACTTTAGACATACCCAAGTGCCTATCATTCTCTGTGAGCTTTTCAATATATTTTCTCCCTTTGAGGAGCGTGTGTGTGTGTGTGTGTGTGTGTGAGAGAGAGAGAGAGAGAGAGAGAGAGAGAGAGAGAGAGATGAGAGTGCTGGGGTGGCAGCTGCTCTCAGCTGATGAAGGAGAAGAGGAGGGGGCACAAAGGATGCCTTTGGTGGGGAACAGCCTGCGAGGGAGGGAGGGCCCCCACTCCCTTGCCTTTAGAGATTGGGGAAGGGAGATGGACAGGGCCACTGACTCCATGTCCTGCCCCATCCATGGAGTGGAGATATTCCCCAGGAACAGGGAAAGACATTGACCATCTATCTAGAAGGGGGGGGGAGGTAGAGGAGGAGGAGGAGCCAGGGTGCATGACCTTCATCCCATCACCAAGAACTCAGCACTACATTTGCTGTTTGCAACAGACCCATGCCATTTAAGAAAAGCCTGTGTCTCCAAGTGCACCAGTCCCACAGGGAGAGTCTGGCAAGGGAGCACACCATGTCTTGCTTTTAAAGGATACTCCAAACCTGCCATCATTCCAAGGCGTTTGTGTGGGTGGGGGCACTACAAAAAAGAGAAAAGGAATAGTGGAGAAAATGAAGATGAAATTCTGCAAAGGAAGGTTGAGAGAGGTGGGGAAATATTCATGCTATTTATTAAATTTATGCAGATACCCATCTAGAGTATTTCCTCGGTGATTTGCAACATAACATTTTTTTTTAAAAAAATACAGCTTATAATAGTGAAAAACAACCATAAAAGACAGCCAAAAAACCTTTTCTTACAACAGCTAAAAAGCTCAGGAAATACCTTCTGAAGTATAATTTCTACATATGTGTATGTGTGTGTTTGATGTGGGGAGTGCTTCAACTTTTCTTCTGTTCCTGACCTTCCAAGGGATCACGTGAAGTGCCACTAATGTGATGTGTTCTTCAGATAAATGAGCATGTGTTTCTCCTTCTCCTTCTGATTCTAGGCTGTGACAGTGACCATTGGGGTCCTCACTGCAGCAACCGCTGCCAGTGCCAGAACGAAGCGCTTTGCAACCCCATCACTGGCGCCTGCGTCTGTGCGACTGGATACAAAGGATGGCGCTGCGAGGACTTGTGCGACCCAGGAAGTTATGGCAAAGGCTGCCAGCTGAAGTGCCAGTGTCACAATGGGGCCACCTGTGACCATAAGACCGGGGAGTGCCACTGTGCTCCTGGATACACAGGTGTCTTGTAAGTGGAGTGCTGGGTACTTTTTACATGCGGGCTTTGCGGCAGTTGCTTTCTCTTAGGACCACGTTCACACTGTACATTTGAAGCACTATGATGCCACTTTAAGCAGCCACGGCTTGTCCCAAGGAATTCTGGGAGCTGTAGTTTGAGAGTTGTTAGGAAGCCTCTGTTCCCCCTCCCAGAGCTACAGTTCGGAGAGTAGTCAAACCATTGACCCCTCTTTGCAGGGAACTTTGGGAATTGTAGTTCTGTGAGGAGAAGAGGGGCCTCCTAGCAACACTCTGCACCCTTGGCAAACTACAACTCCCAGAATTGTTTGTGGGAAGCCATGACTGAAGGGGCATCATAGTTCTTTAAATATTAGTGCCACAGTTGTCTGAAATGTGCCCAGTTAGGATTCCTTCTTTTGGAGAGAAGCCCTGTGCAACTTTTGAGCCACCGAGGAAGCAAAGCTCACCATCACCTAGTGAACATGTTTCCCTCGCACACCATCTGTGTGGCATGCATGATTTTCATGTATACGTGGGAACCCTTCGAACCAAACCTTGCGTAAGAGGTGATCATGCTGTATTGCAAATGTTTGTTGAGTTTGGGGAGTTTAGCACATAACTTCCACCTAGCTTGCCATACCGCTTGCCAAGTATACAACTGAATCTTCCCCTTGTGGAAATACTTTTAGCTCCCATGAACCAGAGGTTATCTTTCTGGGTGAAGGGCTCTTAAAATGAATAAAGGATCTGAAACAAAAGCAATGTTGTTTGGAGCAATAAATATTGGATAGCTACATTTTACCATTGATGCCGTCGATCGGAATTTGCTGAGTGTTTGATTATTTGTGTAGGCGCTCCTGCAACAGCCCTGTAGTGGGCTGCCCTCTTGTAGCTTCCTGATGTAAATTGTTTCCGTGTCTGTTTTGTGTTTCATTTTGGTGTCCGTCTCTCCTCACTTCCGACAACACCTGCGAAGCTGCGAAGAGCATTGTCCTCCCGGCAGCCATGGAGCGCAGTGTGAGCAGCGGTGCCCATGCCAGAATGGGGGGACCTGCCACCACGTCACTGGAGAGTGTGCCTGTCCCCCAGGATGGATGGTATGTAACACTGGACTACAGCTGCAGTCATGCACCCCTTGGAACATACTTTAGCGCACATAAATGTCGGTTGGGTTAAGCTTTGCATAACGCCTCTCCAAGCCATTTGCACAAGACAGATTCAGTAAGTGCCTTTTAAAATATGGCATCCAGTCTCATATTTGAATAGGCAGTGCTCCCCAGGGATCTGTTGGACTGTTTTCCAGGATAAGCACCAGACTCACTGAACTGAAAGTGAGGCTCAATAGATGCGCTGAGTGGCTAGCGTGAGCTGAGGCTGCATCCACACCATACATTTAAAGCAGCATGATGCCACTTTAACAGTCATGGCTTCCCCCAAAGAATCCTGGGAGCTGTAGTTAAGGGTGCTGAGAGTTGTTAGGAGGCCATTGTTCCCCTCATAGAACTGCAATTCCCTGAGTGGCTTAAAAGACTGTATTTCCCAGAGTATGCTGGGAAATGTAGCTCTCTGAAGGGAAAAGGGGCCTTCTAACAATTATCATCATCATCATCATCAATAGTTGGGGCTGAGTTCCATGTCATTGCAGGGGTTTGAAGTTTGACCCTTTGGATCCCTTCCAACTCTACAATTTTGTCATTCTATGATTTATGAGAAAGATAAACTAATCGCACCTTTTGCTTCTACCTGAGCCTAACAATGAGATGAAGCATGTGGCTCTTTATCAGGGAGATCTGGCTTCCATTTGCCCTCAGCCATGAAGCTCCCCAGGTGATCCTGCCGCAGCCCATAATCTCTTAGCCTAACTATAAAACGTGGTCTGTGCATAAAACGTGGTCAGTGTGGGGTGGAGGCTCTTAGGCCACCAATGAGCTCCCGGGAGGAAGAGCAAGTTTCAAACGAGATGGATGAGAACAAGAGGCATCCAAAGTCGCAGAAAGGGAAGGCATGAATGCTGCAACTCAGAGACTCTGGGGAGTGTTTGCACTGTGTCAGAGGGAGGTCTGCTACAGAGGTCAATGCAATTCTTTCCCTCCCGCTCACATAATCTTGCTCATTTCTGGCATAATTTTACTTGTGTTAAGAGGGGCTGCCGGGGATTGGCTTCGAGGCAGCGCATTATTACTCGCACCTTTAATTCTGTGTGTCAAGGGAGGGGGGTGGGGAAAGGCTGTGCTCTTTTTTCTCTCCCCCTTTTCCAAATCTAAATCTGTATCAATAATGTGATAATTAACTCCCTCTGGATTTGCCAAGGCTTCATTCAGCTGCGCTCCGTTCCCTGGCATCATTCCATCATTTGACAATTAGCCTGTTGGCAAGTCCCGCTGCTGGAATCGGGCAGAGAAAGGGAAAGGCAGGGGAAGGGGTGTCAGACAGACTCTGGGGATCCTTCCTGGTTAATACCATGAAAGGCTATGAAGATGGCTGGAAGCTGTGGATTACATGGGGGTGGGGAGTGAGGAGCCACCAGGTCCATGCTGGAACAATCGTGACAAGCTCTGAGCTATGGCAGGAATGTGCTGAACTGCGCACTCTTCTTCTCCCCATGGATCCCCTGGTGAATTTTGGAAGGGTGGAGAGAGTGCTGAATGGCAGGACTACCACTGTTATAATTAGGGTTGCTCCCCAGGATGCAAGGCTAGTAGAGAAGCATTGGATTGTGTTTAGTGTTAGCCATAGAATCATAGACTCATAGATTCATAGAATTTTAAAGTTGGAAGGGACCACAAAGGTTATTTAGTCCAACCCCCTGAAATGCAGGAATCTTTTGCCCAATGTGGCACTCAAACCCATGGCCCTGAGATTAAGTGTCTCATGCTTTACTGACTGAGCTATCCAGAATCCTATTCACAGTAGATCCACTGAAATGAAAGGTCTAATTTAGCCCCCTTAATGTCTGTCAGTGGGACTACTCTAAGCAGAACCTTGCTGGACCCAACCCATTGGTTACGTTCTGTTGTGTTTTGCCACCATCACAAAGTTGGTTTCATAATAAGCTCTCAGCTGTGTTCAGTCGGGTCCATATCACCACCGTCATCATTGCAGAATCACAGAATGAAAGAGTTGGAACAGACCCAAAATGTCATCTAGCCCAACCCTCTGCAATGCTGGCATCACCACCTCCATCGTCGGTTTGTTTGTCTGACACCTTCCCACAACATGCTGCCCAAAGTGAACAATTAAGTATAGCCACTCAAAAAAGTGCAGATGAGAAACAATTGGAAATAAATGCAAAAAAAAAAAAAAAACCCCAATCCGAACACATTTGTATAAAACAATAGAAATACAGTCATACCTCGGGTTACAAATGCTTCAGGTTGCATTTTTTGGGTTGTGAACCGCCGAAACCCGGAAGTACCAGAACAGGTTACTTCCGAGTTTTGGCAGTTGTGCATGCGCAGAAGTGCTAAATTGCGCTTTGCGCAGAAGCGCCGAATTGCAACTTGCGCGTGTGCAAACGCACCGCTACGGGTTGTGGACGTGCATCCCGCATGGATCACGTTCGCAACCCGAGCGTCCACTGTAAACCCAATCCAACTTGAACACCTTAAAACTGAACAGGAGATAGAATAATGCCTAATACAGATATCAAAAAAGTAGTATTGAAAACATCCACATGCTCCAGATGATTCATTTATTTCCATTAGTTTGGATTGAAATCCCCATCTCCAGGTGCCCTGCCCCATCTCTCTTGGTATAAGGCAGCTTCCTATGTTTCTGTGTTCACAATCACAATCAAGTTTGGGGTAGCAATTATTTTCTTTTGTACAGACACTGAGTAACAGCACCTCATTGCCAGAGGGCAAATTGCTAGGACAGCTTAGGTTATTTAGGTTGGAAGATGGACTGGAGCAGGGGTGGATTTTAAATGTCTGGCCCTTCCTGTTCCCTCACCTGACACCATCACATTTTCCCATGCCTGTAACTGCTGTAACCCCACGGAAACTACAGTAATCCCCAGGCAAATTTCTTGCAACATTTTTAAATGATACTAAACAGCAGCGTAATAATACAAACGACAGAGTTGCAATTAATAAAGTGCAGGAAGAAGGTGCATAACAACTGGAGGCAATATTTCTTTTTCTTCATTTATTAAATTCATATATGTATATCCCACACTTCCACACAAAGGAGCATAGGGGGGCAATACAGCTTATAGAAGGGCATCGTTGAGGCTGTGTCATAAACTGCTAAATACAGAAAGCAAGTGGGTACTGAATAATTGAATTCCGCACAACTGATGATGCCAGCCTGTGGTCTGGATTCTGTGGCTTGCCTGAGCATGGATGTTAAGCCATGCGCAGTGGACCTATGGTGCCGCACCATCAAGCGGATAAGCTGCACATCACCCTGAAGCTGGCAGTGCAATATGACCTGCAGGTGTGTGCCTGCACAAGTACAGCCAGAGAGACTGTTAAAAGTGCACTACCGTGTGGGTGGGTGTGTAAGCTGTAGAAATTCTGTTCTACTCAGTTGGTGGGTGGACCGTAAATGAGGCTGTCTGCACTGATGCTGCCTGGAAGAAACAGAGAGATGCATTCCAAAGGCCAGGGGTTCTTCTTGAAAACCCTATCCTTGGCTGTTCTGTTCCCCAGGGACAAACCTGCAGTTAACAGTGCCTGCTTTTGAACTGAGCTGAGTTTAAAACACACATACACAGACATGCAGACTCTGAAAGAGGCAGAGCAGGAGCTCTGGGGGAAGCAGAGGCAGTTAGAAGCAAAAGCACTCCACTTGCAAATGTTGGGATTTTAAGTTTAAAGGGCCTCTCCAGGGCTTTCATGAAAGAGGAAAAAGATTCTGCACAGCCACTGTGTGTGTCTGTGTGGGGGAGAGAAACTTTTTCCTTATTCTTTTCTTGCTTTGTGTTTTTAACCCTTGATGTTTGGAGGACAGTTCTGGCTGCAGCAAGCCAGGAATGGAGAAACAGAAAGAAGGTGCTACTGTCCTCGTGGCCTTGTGTTCCACAGAAGGCCTGTCTTTGGCTGTAGACATTTTGAATGCACGTTTAGTGTGCTTTGGGCGTATGTATAATATACGCTATGCATGCACCAGTATTCCTTGAAGACATTTGCAACTTCAGGTTTATTAATATACATCGACTCCAACTTGATTTCACCTGGGACCAGAAACCATCGCAAGAGAACAGCAGTTTCTACGCTCCCCTGGGGTGCGTATGATGAAATGCAGCTCTGCCAAGAGATTTGCTCCCTGAGGAATCAGGTTCCCAGTTGAAGCAGGAGATTGAAAAGGAAGATCAGCGTGCGCTCTCTGTCTCTTTCCTCCTCCCTACCCTTCAGTTCCCTCCTTTTAAAGATAGCATTGCTCCTGTTCTCAGTGTGCCTGCTCAGTAGGACGAAGAATCTAGCAGGAAATCCAGCTTTACAGCAATAGCAAGCAGTGTGGTGGAAACAAGAGCCACTCTGTCTGGCACGGGGATCACTGCAGCTTCCCCAGATGGAGCCGAGCAGGATTTGGATCAGATGCAGCAACAGAGCCAGTCTGACACTGCTGCTGGTGTGTCTGCACAGCCACAATCTTGCCTCCCCACCAAACCCCACCCAGGAGAGATGCGACAATGCTTTGTGCCTCTGCCCCACTAAGCTGGCCACTACTGCTTTACCATAATCTGTTACTGTTAACTGTAATGATCTGTTGCAGTGGCATGCAAGGAGAAGGCTACCAGTGGCCACCAGCCACAATGACTATGCTCTGCCCCACAGTCAAAGGCAATGATGCTTCTGAAAAGCAGTTGCTGGAAGCTACAGGAGGAAAGAGCCCCGTTGCACTCGGGTCCTGCTTGTTTGCTTCCCAGAGGCATCTGGTTGGCCATTGTGAGAACAGGATGCTGGACTAGATGGGCCATCAGGCTCTTCTTATTTCTTAGAGCCTTTGCCAACTTGGCATCCTGTGGAATAGCTCAGTTGGTGGAGCACAAGACTCTTGATCCCAGGGTTGTAGGTTCAAGCCCCATGCCAGACAACAAGACTCCTGGATTGCTGGGGGATGGACTAGGTGACACTTCCAACCCTACAATTCTGATGCGGGTGGCGCTGTGGGTTAAACCACAGAGCCTAGGACTTGCCAATCAGAAGGCTGGCAGTTCGAATCCCCGTGACGGAGCGAGCTCCTGTTGTTCGGTCCCTGCTCCTGCCAACCTAGCTGTTTGAAAGCACGTCTAAGTGCAAGTAGATAAATAGGTACCACTCCGGCGGGAAGGTAAACAGCGTTTCCGTGCGCTGCTCTGGTTCGCCAGAAGCAGCTTAGTCATGCTGGCCACATGACCCGGAAGCTGTACGCCGGCTCCCTCGGCCAATAAAGCGAGATGAGTGCCGCAACCCCAGAGTCGGCCACGACTGGACCTAATGGTCAGGGCTCCCTTTACCTTTACCTTTACGTGATTTGGAGGATCAGCCCCCACCAGCTTCAGCCAGCATGGACTCTGCTGGCTGTGGCTGATGGCGGTGCACTCCAAAACATCTAAAGCGCACCTGGTTGACAAAGGCTGCTCTAAGTTGAGGCATGTTCTGGCTAAGTTGGACTCTGCCTAGAGTGCAAACATCCCCTTTGTTAATTCCCTCTGTTCATGTCCATTGTCAGGCAACTCTGTCTCCAACTCTCCGCAGAACAGTTATGGGGCTCTCTCTGGCCGCATTGCTTGGGGCTACCCTCAAAAACTGAGTCCCTACTGACTCTCCTTGTCTGTAACAGCATTATTAGGCTTATCTCAAAGGGAGCACAAGAAAAAGTGGGACGGCATCTCAAATGAACAAAACAAGCCTCACTGAGGCAAAACTTTGTCTTAGTTCAATGCATTTCCACAAAAGATACTCCTCCTTCAGGACCTTGAACCCCCCCCCCCCCCGCTCTCTCCCCATCTTATTTGCAGAGGTTCAAAATGGATGAATGAGGGAGTACAATTGCTTTATTTTTCAAGCGGATTCCTGAGTTGTTCAGGTTTTGAAAAGAGCTTCTGAATTTTAAGAAATCACAAGCTCCTAAAGAAAGATTGTTCCACTCTAAAACACACTGAACTACGGTAAGGAGCCTTATATCAGTGAGACCAGAGCCTGTTCTCCTTTAGGTTTTGCAATCTCAAATGGAGCCAAGATTTCATGCCAAACATACGAATGGTACCCCTGCCCATTTTCACGCTTTTTGTGTTTGGCATCTACCCCAGAGGAAGGTCTTTCAGTTCCGCTTTCACAGTCACTCGTGTGAAGTGGAATCCTTAGACATCTCCAGAGTGTTGCTCTTATGGCGTGGGATTCAGTCACATAGTAGCAAGTTCAGGTGGCGCAACCACAGTTGATTGGGAGCTCTTGCACAACACCTGCCTCCCTCAAAGATAAGACTTTTGCAATAAGAAATGTGATGGGAAGATGCACAGGAAAAGTGGAATAATGTTTGGTGCAGCACTATCCAACCTCCCGACAAACAAATGTGATGAATGCTAAACAAACACATTGTCTGGGAGAGCCCCTTCCCTCCACTGCCCCCCTGCACTTCCATGGTGCATTGTGTCAAGGTCTGGTCTATGGGCGGTCGAAGTCCCAGCTGAGGACATCGGGACCGGGGGCAAGATGGCAGGGTGGGAGCAGGAATGAGAGTCCAGAAGCCAGGGATCCGAGGGTCAGGAAGCAGGGAGTCGCGAAGTCAAGGGTCCGAGGATCGAGAAGCAAGGAGTCACGAAGTCAAGGGTCTGAGGTTCGAGAAGCAAGGAGTCAAGAAGCCGAGGTCCAAGGATCAGGAAGCAAGAAGCCAAACACAGCAAGGCAGGAAACGTGTTGCTGTGGCAAAGAGCCAAAGGGAAATGCTGACCTTATATCCCTTCCCGGCTCTTGCCACCAGGTGCTGTGAGTTACCAATCGGCTTCACCTGTGAGGCCACGCCTTGCCTCTTCAGAACAAACTTAGGAAGGCCCCAGTCCTGCAAAGTCCTATTGGTCACAGGGCTTGGCTCCTGCAAGCACTCCTGACACATTGAAAGGTCTGAAAAGAGCCAATGGCCCATCTAGTCCAGCATCCTGTTCTCACAGAGGCTGCCTGTGGTATTTCCACCAGCAGGACCCAAGCACAGGAGCACTCTCCCCTCCTACAGTCTCCACCAACTGGTATTTAGAAGTATTACTGCCTCTTGTTGCAGCTACTAAGCATTGATAGGCTTATCCTTCCATATATTTGTCCAACCCCAGTTTAAAGCCATCCAAGCTGGTGGCCACCACTGCCTTCTGTGGGAGCAAGTTCTGTAGTTCAACTGTGCACTGCAAGATGGAAGTGATTATCTGACACCCTGGTTATGAATAGAAGAGAGTGGTTGAAAGTTTGAAGTTGTACCTAATCCTCATTCAGGCTCTGTATTCAAGATCATGTCTGATTGCCCCAAAGTCCTTGCAGCGCACATGTTCTGTTGGAGAGGAGAATGCCCTTTAATCCTTGTTCTGACTTAAATGAAGTGTTGGGAGATGGGGTGGTGCTGGGACCATCTTTTGCTTTCCTCGGCAGCAGTTGATGACATTGGGGAAGGGCGCTGAAGAACACACAGCCTGAAGTCTTTGCAAAGTTGCTGATGGAACAAACTGTGTTGATGAGATGCATAAAATTGCTTGCAACTTTGCTCTGACATTTGATCCTCCGGAGATGGGCATTTTGTATTCCCTAAATGCACGTTTGTGCCGAAAGATTCACACCTCTCTTGAGGGGATGCATCTCGGAGCACTGCTTCCTCATCATTTGCTGATAGAAATCCTCTCCTCTTTGAAACATGATGAGAAAAGGCATTTATTGTCATGATCAATGGGCAACTTGCCTTCCTGGAGAGAGATTCAAAATATCACTCCTTGCTCAAGCCTAGAGACACAAATGGTTATGGCAGGGCCCGGATGCTCTTGAACTGAGGCCAAGCTATCCCTTCCACAGCTGAAGAGCCAGCAATCATACAGGTTAGGATAGGCTTTCAGAGTCCTCCTTCATGATTAGTGAGACCCACTGTATTCCATTCTGGGGTTGTTGGTATTGCCAAATCTTCCTGGCCTGTGAGTGAAGAAACTGTCAGAGGAAGTCAAATATGAAGCCGTTCCTATTCCCGTTTTGAGATGTGCTGTGTTTTTTATTTGCCCTGAGAACTGTTCATTGTTTCCTCTTCCACTACCACCCTCTCCTGCCTAAAATGCTTTAAGGTGCTTGGCTGAGAGGCAGGGCCGGTCCTGCTGTTAAGCCGAGTGAGGCAACTGCCTCAGGTGACAGATACTACAAGAGGGGAAATGGCAGTGAGTTGTGGGAGGACAAAGTTTTGTATGTTCCACACAACGTGCCCTAGAACCCCTACGCTGGCCCCTTACCATAAGGTATGGTGGAAGACACTGTCCTATTGCAAATATTGAACTGAGATTCATCTGCTATTATTATTATTACTATTTATTCAATTTGTATACTACCCTACATCCGTAAATCCATTTCTTACAATGTAAAAATACAAAATGAGAATACACAATACGTGGTGCCTAAAGGTATATAATGAAGGACCAGATGAGCCTCCCTGGGGAGAGCATTCCACAAATGGGGAGTCACCACAGAAAAGGCCCGTTCTCATGTTGCCACCCTCTGGATCTCTCATGGAGAAGGCACATGAAAAAGGGCCTCAGATTATGATTGCAGGGTTCTGGTTGGTTCATATGGGGAGAAGCAGTTCTTGAGGTATTGCAGTCCTCAGCCATTTAAGGCTTTATAAGTGAAACCAGCACTATGAATTGGGCCAGGAAATGAATGGACAGCCAGAATCAGTGTAATATGCTCAAACTGTCTTGCCCCGGTGAGCAACCTGGCCACTTAATTTTGCACTAGCTGAAGTTTTCCGAGCCATCTTCAGAGGCAGCCCACATATATGTGTTGCAGTAATCTTACTAGAAGTTACCAGAGCATAGACAACAGAAGTTAGGTTATCTTTGTCTAGATAGGGGTGTCAATGGGTCACCAGCTGTGGCTAATGGAAGGCAGTGTGCATCAGTGTGCCTTCTGAGTGGTTGTGTACAACTAGGGTGATTCCCTCTCCCACTCAGAACCCTGGCCTCATTCAGTGAAGAAGGGGAACCTGACCCAAGGGTTGTGGCAGTCACAACATGGCTTGGCAGGGTTTCCAAGCAGGATTGAACCCCATAACTTCTCAATGGTAGCAACTACTGGTAGAAATTGGATGGATTGTGTGGCATATGAATGGAAGGCTCAGTATGTTTCCATGTCCTCTTGCATGCATTCATAAGTCCATTCTGTACCATTACTGCTTGAATCTGCAATTTTTAAAATGCATATTACTTTGCATTAAAATTCACATTACTTTCTATGTACTGTATTCCTTGGCAGAACAGACATTTATGAACACAGTTTACCCTAACATGGTCATTTCGTACACATTTTATCCTAAAGTCCACATTCTCATATGACTTCCAACCTAAAATATGCATTGAATATATGTACATACTGGTAAAGTGGCAAGCACTTTATTAAATGGCATGACATGCAAAGCACACCCTTTAATGCACAGCTAAATGCAATGTGTTTGTTTTTCTCCATGTTAACCTGAAATGACTGTTTTTTTCTCTCTGTCTCCTCCTACATAGGGCTTTGTATGTGCCCAGCCGTGTCCATCAGGAACATATGGGGTTAACTGCAGCCAGGATTGCCCATGTCATAATGGAGGGCAATGCGATCATGTGACGGGGGTTTGCCTATGCACTGCAGGCTATATGGGAGACAGGTAGGTATGGAGGTAGCAGGTGGAAAACTTCATTCTCCTGTGTGTAGATTGCCAGTTAAAACTCTTTCAACCCAATGAAACTTCAATTAGCAAAGTCCCATTGTCAGAGATGGTGAACCTCAGGTCCAGGGGGATGGCAAATGTGGCCCTCAGGGCCTTTCTATCTGGCCCTTGGGCTCCTCCCCAGGTTACACCACACCTTGGCCCTGTTTGCAGTTTCCTTTATGCCTGGCTGGAATGTATCCTTGTATCCTGCTAATGCTTTTTGCTTACCTGGATGGAGGATGCAGTGAAGTATGTGAGTGTGAGCCTACTGCTCACAGGTAAGGTAAAGGTAAAGGGACCCCTGACCATTAGGTCCAGTCGTGACCGACTCTGGGGTTGTGGCGCTCATCTCGCTTTATTGGCCAAGGGAGCCGGCATACAGCTTCCGGGTCATGTGGCCAGCATGACTAAGCTGCTTCTGGCGAACCAGAGCAGCGCATGGAAACACCGTTTACCTTCCCGTCACGGAGCGATACCTATTTATCTACTTGCACTTTGATGTGCTTTCAAACTGCTAGGTTGGCAGGATCAGGGACCGAGCAACGGGAAGCTCACCCCGTCACGGGGATTCGAACCACCGACCTTCTGATTGGCAAGTCCTAGGCTCTGTGGTTTAACCCACAGCGCCACCCGTGTCCCTATGCTCACAGGTAAAATTGGCATTAATTGCTGCACCTACCTTTGCTCCTGGCAAGATGTATGAACCCTTCCCCCGCCCCCCAAAAGTCTAAAGAATACAGAAAGATGCGCTATTTAAATCAATAAAAAGAGAAAGCAAACATTTAGCAGTATTTGAGTTATTTTAAACTTTTACATTTGTTTCCCACCTTTCCTCCAAGGATCTCAGGGTGGCATACACACATTCACCACTGCTCCACTGTATCCTCACAACAACCCTGTGAGGTAGGTTAGGTTGAGAGAGTGTGACTGGCCCAAGGTCACCCAGCAAGCTTCATGGCCGAGTGAGGATTTGAACCCTGGTCTCCCAGGTCCTAGTCTGACACTCTAACCACTAAACCTCACACCACACACATATTTTAAGCATACGCCATACATAACTTGATAAGAAAACAATGCAAAAAGGAAACCTGCAAATCCTCCCAGATATTAAGAGCACAAAGGCTCCTGGGCCTTGTTCAAGCCTTATTCGTTTTGACAGAAGGAGCTTCAGATCCCATAGAGAAGTAAAAAGTCCTAGCTGGAGACATTTACATATATCTCTTGAAGTCCTTGCAAACACATGAATCAGGTCTGGCCCAATAGGTGTCAAATATAATTCTTCACACTAAAGCTATTTCAAGAAAACTATTTTAAAAGGGGATTGAGAAGATTTTCCTTTGAAAGTGTCAGTAATGGAATCCGATAATAAAGAGCTCCTTTTCCTCGGAGGATAAGGCTTTGATCCTGTGTACGTTTACCTGGGAGTAAGTCCCACTGAACTGAACAAGGATTACTTTTTAGCAGACACATATATTTATTCATTTATTTATTAACAGGTAACTGTTAGGTGGATTTGTAGCTGACTGGCTGAACCCAAAGAGTACTCATTAATGGTTCCTCGTCATCCTGGGGGAAAGTGGCAGGTGGGGAGCTATTTTTTCTAGAAAAAGAGGGGCTGGAACTCACCATGAATGCCTCTCTTGTTCTCTTATAATGGCAATGGCGCCCACCTGAGAGGGGGCAGAACTGAGTTTATATTTCTGTTTTGGGTTGTACCCAGTGTTCGTCCTGCTCAAGTGAGTAGCCTATTTAAATTAAAGGTCATGATAAATTTATCACCCTTAATTTCAATGGGGCTACTCAGAGTAGAATTTAGTCAGTTACAACCCACTGTTTTTATATGGGGGGGGGGCTGTGCTCCTCTTCACTCGACTCACCACCCTACCCATATCATCCCCACATTAACCCCTAGAGCCTCCCCTTCCTAGGATTCTGACGAGACACTACAAATCCTCCAGTGGGGACTATAAAACAACAGCCTTACATTTTTATGTATATAGGAAGACATGGTGTACACTGTAGATTGGGATTTTTTTGAAATATTAAGCTGTTTAGAAATGCTTTTAATTAAATAAATAAACAATCATGCACCCCATTACTTTTGCTGAAATGAGACACATTCTTTTTTTTACAGCTAGATCTTATCACTTCTATAATTTTTTTTTGGCAAAGCTCCTCCATTTTTATTATAGCTAGGATGGTGTGGTTTTCCTTTTTTTTTAATGTCCCTTATAAAACATAATGGATTAAATTTAATTTAATTTAGATATTTGCAGCAATAAACTTGAACGGGGAAGATCTCTCCGTGTTTACAAGATATGCAAATGAAACACATTTATACCAATTAATCCCCTCAAGAGTAAGCACTGCATTTCTCCGTTTCCCATACCGCACTCCAGCATTTCTAGATGGGAGAGTGGAAAGACTGTTCAAAGCACCTGAGAGTCCCAAATGATATATTTCTGTAGACTAGCAATCCCTGACTTTGTGTCTTCCAGGTGATTAGTGGACTACAACCCCCATCATCCCTGTCTGTTGGCCATGCTGACTGGGGCTGATGGAAGTTGTAGTCCCACAACATCTGAAGGGTACCAGGCTGGGGACAGCCTTTGTAGACTGACATCAACCTTTCATGGATCTATGAGTGAAGGTCCCCAGTAGGACCACTATAATTATCAAGGGCAATGGCGGAACTCTTATCTTTTCCCCAAAGAGAAACAGAAGCTCTATTCATGCTTTCAAAATGATACTTGAAGGCATAAACTAGGATGTGGGAGTGGGTGTACCCACTTCACCCCCAACTTTCTACACTGAGCAGGCTAATGTCTTCAGGCTGGTCTGATCCACTTATGTAAAGATGGTCACTCGTTGGCCTAGTAAAGAATTGACTGACCAGGTGTTCTGTGGTGTTTTCAGCTAGTGTGGAGCTTTCAGCCAGTCTAGGAGGTGAAAGACCAGGATTCAAATCCCCACTCAGCTGGGATGCCTACTGGGTGAGCAGTCATTGCCTCTCGGGAGAAGAATTTAGGAGCTCAGAAGTTTGCTTCTCCTTTGAAATGGGGTTTTATGAACTACTGAAGTTTATATTTGTCCTTGGATAACTCTTGTCTGGCCCCTAGTACTCTTCCCAAGCCAAACTTCTTGCTGGCTCTGCTTTTACACCCCAAGTGTGTATGCCTGGCTAGGACGTGTCTCTAAACTCCATTAATGTTTCCTCCTTGACTGAATGGCAGCATAGAGAGGGGCATGTCAAGCATGTGTAGAAACTAGCCAACTGTACAAAGGTCTAACAATTGCTCCACCTACCACCGGCACATGGGACTGGAAGGTTGTCCAGAAGGGAGTGAAAAAAATTCTCCATCCCTGAGTTCACCCTGGGTCCCAAAACTGGGTGCTGAAGCCAAGCCCATTGTAATTGCAGCTTTCAATCCTAGTTCAGCTCATGATGGGCTGCTGGTTCACTTTTAGGACCCAAAAAATAAATAAATCCTTATTTTGTTCCTAAAGTTGCGACTAAACCGTTCTCAATTAATTTGAACAATGGGACCAACCAGCCAATTTCATTTCTGTCCCTATTGCTCCCTGGGCTTGATGGGCTGCAATAAGATTCCTCTCCCCCATCCCCCATTCTGGGTGAAATAACGTGCGGGTGACCTTTTAAATAAATCAAGGAAATGTTCCTGTTAATGGGTGCTCTTTTACAACAATCCCTTCCGGATCCCCTTTCTAATACTCTTCAAAGGTAATCTGTATTAGCCTACAGCATACAGTCCTGCAGAAGAGATAATAAAACATGTATTTTTCGATAAATATTTGTGGGGAAATAGCTCGGTCACAAAAGCCTGTGGGAGCTGAATAGCTCCCTTTTCTTTCTCACTTTTTTCTGGTTCGTGGAGCGTGCCTGTGCATTCTGAATAACTCAACAAACGCCAAGTTGATAGCGCCAGATAACTTCCCTGCTGCACTGAAATTTACGTGAGCTGAGCATCCAATGCAAATGCTTTCATTGTGGACCCCAATTATTGGAAGCCACAGTTCTGGTAGAAATACAGCATGGGAAATCAGTTCCCAAGTCTTGCAGCCAGCAAGAAACTGTATTTGAGCTGCGGAATTGCAAGATTAGAATCTTTTATGCAGGGAGGACAATTCCCCCAAATCTCACCAATTACAGCGAACAAGTTTATTTTCCTTGCTATTTTGTTACCCGTGAGTACTCCATTATGATATTTATGAAAACATGATCACCCAAGTTTTTAAATGCTTGCGGTTTTTTGGGTGCCATTTCGATTCTTTTCATTGGACAAAACTATTATCACTGACGAGAGAACGGGTTGGCAGCACAATATAGCTCCTCTTGTGACATCCTTAGATCAGGGGGTTGGGAAAGTGTGGCTCTCCATGTGGGTTCCGCTGGCATATGAGAGCTGTTCTTCCCCCACAGGATATCTGAAGGACCACAGATTCCTCACTCTTGCTTCAGAACAAGCCTGGGGAACATTCAGCCTGCAAGCCAATCTTGGCCCTCCAGGAGATCCAGTCTGGCCCACAAAGCCATTCACCCCACCACCACCATTCCTACCTGTCAATCAGCAGATGACACTTATGCCATCAGCTGGTAGGAGAGGAGAAAGAAGTACGGTACTTTGCCAGCCTCGAGTGCTGTGCTTCCTAAAGTGGCTGTTGGCCAGTTGGGAACTCTGCTTAACGGATTTTGACAGGTGGGTGGGTGGGGCAAACCACCTGTCCAGGTTTGCCCATGGGGCACAACCAGGTAAAGATATCAACTCCCTCCCCCCCCAAGTCAGAAAGTTCCCCCACCCTTGTTGTGGAAGAAACAAATATTATTTTGTGCATGTAACGTGTTTAACAGGGCATCATAATGTTTAATACGTTGTGAAATTGTAGCCATTAATTCTACAGCTGGCACATTTATTAACCCAACCCCAAATAATTGTACACTTATTAAACTTCAATGGCACTTATAATAATGCGGCTCTTCCCAGATAAGAAGGAAGCCATGTAAAATAGAACAAGAAACATGACGATGGTCTAGTCGCTTGTTGAGTAATTTAATTGAGCAATGCATCTGGCTGCTAATGGTGTTGCAGGCCCATTAGATTGATACGTTGCAAAGTGATGACATTTTCTGCAGCAAGTTAATTCCTACAGCGATGATCCCTACATTCCAAAGGAGCCATTATTGGTTTCTTGTGGCATAAAATTCATTTGCAGGGGGTTGCTTGATCTCCAGATAAATAAGTTGGTTAAACAGTTAGGAGAGCGGTTGGGTTGGGGGCAAGAGGGTAGCTAATTATGTAAATAGATTAGGTCATCGATGTTTCATTTCTAGATGCTCTTTTCCACTTGGTTTCATCTATAAATATAGGATGATATAGTATGGTATTGACTACTCTATTCATCTTGCGGAGTATTTTACATTTATGCTCAAATCGGCAGACTGCACTTGGAAAGCAAGCTCTCCAGACATCTCACCATGCTTTCGGGCCTGCCAATAAGATCTGCAAACGGAAAGCAGGCATCTGTGCTTTTAAATACCAGTGTGGCAGGGGAAATAGTTCTTTGCCTGCCTTTAGTGTCATAAAGCTCTGTATGCTTTCTAGACTACGCAGGTAGGGAAGCTCCGTCCTGCCTCCGCGTTAGCTGAAGTAGCACACGGCAAACTTTGCAGCAAGGAAAGTCTCCGTGGTAAACAGAAGGGATGCAAATCAACTGGCATCAAGTGGTAATGCAGGGGGTTGCCAAGCTTTGGGGGCACATGGGCACATTTGCAAACCAGAGAAATTGTGGCGGTCACCTCACACATACAGACTGCTATCAATCACCCTCAGCAAATGGTTCCTTTCAGCAATAGAATGCTTCTTTCAAACTTAACTTCAGGTCTCATCCACAATATACATTTAAAGCACTATGATAAAACTATAAACAGTCATGGCTTCCCCACAAAGAACCCTGGGGGCTGCAGTTTGTTAAGTGTGCTGAGAGTTGTGAGAAGTCCTCTATTCCCCTCCCAGAGTTACAGTTCCCATCATGGTTTAGCAATCCTTCTCAGGAAACTCCGTGGATTGTACATTGGTAAGGGGGTCTCCAGGATGCGGGTGGCGCTGTGGGTTAAACCACTGAGCCTAGGACTTGCCGATCAGAAGGTTGGCGGTTCGAATCCCCGCGACGGGGTGAGCTCCTGTTGTTCGGTCCCTGCTCCTGCCAACCTAGCAGTTCAAAAGCACATCAAAGTGCAAGTAGATAAATAGGTACTGCTCCAGCGGGAAGGTAAACGGCGTTTCCGTGCGCTGCTCTGGTTCGCCAGAAGCGGCTTAGTCATGCTGGCCACATGACCCGGAAGCTGTACACCATCTCCCTTGGCCAATAAAGCGAGATGAGCGCCGCAACCCCAGAGTCGGCCACGACTGGACCTAATGGTCAGGAGTCCCTTTACCTTTACCTTTACCTTTACCTAAAGGGGTCTCCTAGCAACTCTCAGCATGTGTAAGAAACTACAGCTCCCAGGATTATGTGGCGGAAGCGATGACAGCTGATGTGGCATAGTAGTAGTATGTTATAGTAGGAGAACTTCCTTGCAAAACTGTGTGCATGTAAGTGTAAATATTAGGAGAAAGGCACTCTAAAGTGCTGGTGAATTTTCAGTAAGCTGATGCTGAAATGTGGCAAACTGAACTTAAGCCTGGAAAAATAAGGTGCCAAGAGAAACTGAAATGGGCAGTTTTGCACGTCCCTAACCACGGATGTGTTGCAATTGCTGTTCCACTGAAAATACCTGAGAATCATTGCCTTGTAGAATCTGATGTAAGAATATGCAGCAATGGGACATGTTGTTTGTTTCAGGGGGGGAAACATATTCAGTGGAGCCAGCAGCTGCAATAGCACTTTTCCTCTTGCATCAACCAATTTCATTGCCATTCCTCTCCCGCGTTCCCAGGCAAGCATTGCGTGTTTAAATCCTTTCTCCCTGATCATCATATTTTAACTCTCTCTGGTGCCGTCTGCGAAATGACCCACAAAAGGCATTTAACAATCTCCTCTCTGCGTGGAGGTTACAGTAAACATTTTAATCAATGGCAGGATTAAATGAATGCTGATTGGGCAATTTCCAGTCCCTGCTGCCCATGCGATAAGACTTTATTAATAATACGACATAGTGGTCCTTCATGGCAGATCATTTCAGACGAAGATGTGAGCTTCTTGCAGGGTAGGGCAAGTTTCAGAACTCAGGAGGTGGCTTAGGCACCGATCCCTTGCATGGCTCTGTGTTGCAGCTTCTCGAGTAGGAGCCTGGCTTTGCGCTGCCTTTTATCAAGATCATGGTTATTAGTGGCAAAATCCGGGAGGGGTTGCAGAAAAATGCTTTGGCATGTAATGTCACTATTCAATGTTCCAGGCTGCCAACCAGACCATTTCTACATTAATCTATGGCATTTTTTTTCATCCTCTCAAAATACATATTTTAAAAGTGTATTTTTATAAATTCAAATGCCAAGACCCATAATGCAATATTTGAAGAAGTGTGAACTCCAGTATGTTGCTCTGTTCCAATCTGCACATTTGTCTGAATGGGTCATTTTGTATGGGAATTTGAAAAGATAACAGTCCTCCAGCTTTCCTAGCCTCAGTTTGGACAGAGGGGAGCTCTCAGAGGAGAGCATTGGCATATGACTTTAGGGCATGGGCAGGATGATGCAGAAGCTACTAGCCATGGTGGCTATGTTCTGCCTCCCCTGGTAAAGGTAAAGCTAAAGGGACCCCTGACCGTTAGGTCCAGTTGCAGACGACTCTGGGGTTGGGCGAGGGAGCCGGTGTACAGCTACCGGGTCATGTGGCTAGCATGACAAAGCCACTTCTGGCAAACCAGAGCAGTGCACGGAAACACCGTTTACCTTCCCGCTGGAGTGGTATTTGCACTTTATTTACTTGCACTTTGACGTGCTTTTGAATTGCTAGGTTGGCAGGAGCAGGGACCGAGCAACAGGAGATCACCCTGTCGCAGGGATTCAAACCACCGACCTTCTGATCGGCAAGCCCTAGACCACCAAAAGCCAGTTGCTGGGAATTACAAGTGGGGAGAGTGCTGTCTGCTGTTACACTCAGCACCTTCTTGTGGGCTTCCCATGGGCATCTCATTGGCATAGGACAATGGGCATCCGATTGGCCACAGTGAGAACAAGACACTGGGTTGATAAGCCTTTGGCCTGATCCAGCAGGGCTCTTCATTTTTTCACATGTACAGGTTTTCCTTCAGCCATTTTTATGCCCTTCTTACGAGCTTCCAGTTGCATCAGGTTGGTGCATCAAGCTAACTTTATGGCTACCAAAAATATAGCAAGACCTTCTTGCCTGGTCCAGCAAGCCACTTCTCATGTTCTAGTTCTATGCAGGTGGGGATGTTGACAAGGAACAGACTGGATCCAGAGCAACAGGCCAGCAAGGAACAGCAAGCTTTCTTAAGCTGCCTTGTTCCATTGGCCCATCTAACTCAAAACTGCACACCTTGACCAGTGTTGGCTCTCCAGAGTTTCAGGCAGGGCTCATTGCTCATCCTATATGAAGATGCTGGGACATTTTGCATGCAAACTGCCACTGAGCTACAGATTTTTATTGGGCCGTGTGCTCTTTAAACTTGACTGGTTTGCTAGAAGCTCTCCCACATCTCCAGTTTACATTGAGCCTCTACCTGCCTTTGCTTCTTCTCCTTTGCAGATGCCAGGAGGAGTGCCCTGTTGGGACGTTTGGCTTTCAGTGCATGCAGAAATGCAACTGCGAGAACCGAGCCAAGTGCTACCACATCAATGGGGCCTGCCTGTGTGACCCAGGCTTCAAAGGGATCCATTGCCAGGAGCGGATGTGCCCCGAGGGATACTATGGGCTGAAATGCAACAAGCGGTGTCCTTGCCATGTTCCAAACACAGTCAGGTACGTGCATCATGTCTCTTGCTAGCTGTGAGAGTGATAGCTAAGAAGCAAGAAAGCTTCTTTTGGGAAGAGAGTGGGAAGGAAAAGCTGGAAGAGTGGATTTTTTTTCTGGGCAAGTCCAGTGCTTCCATCTCCAGCATGGAGCAACTCCTGAACTTGGTACAAGCAGTGGTGCATGTTTGTTGAATGTTGACAGTGGAAGAGCCCATTGCTGGGCTGAGGAACAAAATGAGGAATTGGCGGTATTGGCACGGGTGGCACTGTGGGTTAAACCACAGAGCCTAGGACTTGCCAATCAGAAGGTCGGAGGTTCAAATCCCCACAAACGGAGTGAGCTCCCGTTGCTCGGTCCCAGCTCCTGCCAACCTAGCAGTTCGAAAGCACGTCAAAGTGCAAGTAGATAAATAGGTACCACTCCGGCGGGAAGGTAAACGGCATTTCCGTGCGTTGCTCTGGTTTGCCAGAAGCGGCTTAGTCATGCTGGCCACACAGTGGCGTAGCGTGGGGGGTGCAGGGGGGGCCGGCCGCACCGGGCGCAACATCTGGGGTTAGGGCAAATCCACAGGTTAGGGGGCGCAAATCCATGGGTTAGGGGGCGCAAATCCACGGGTTAGGGGGCGCAAATTACTTGCCTTGCCCCGGGTGCTGACAACCCACGCTATGTCACTGTGGCCACATGACCTGGAAGCTGTACGCCGGCTTCCTCGGCCAATAAAGGGGATGAGCTCCGCAACCCCAGAGTCGGCCACGACTGGACCTAATGGTCAGGGGTCCCTTTACCTTTACCTTTTACCGCCCACCTGTGGTGTCCAGATCCTGAACATCAGAGAAGATAATGGGTGAAAGTGTTTTAAAAGTTGATTAATTGATTGATTTGTAAGCTGTCCCATAACACATATTTATTTGTATGGCTTACAATATTATTATTGCTGTTGTTGTTGTTGTTGTTGTTGTTGTTGTTGTTGTTGTTGTTGTTGTTGTTATAATACCCTGCCTGTCTGACTGGGTTTCCCCAGCCACGCTGGGCGGCTTCCAGAACATATAAAAACATAATAAAACATCAAACATCAAAACCTTCCCGATACAGGGAAGCTAACCAAAACATACGTTAAAAGCATAACTTCCAAATTAAATAAATGCTGCAAAAACAGAGCACACAGATTAAAGCCACAGGTTTGAAAACTGAGAAGTAGACTGCGCAAGTGTTTTTTTAAAAAAGAAAACTTGGCTGAACAGAGGTGTCTTTGCCTTGGGATGAAAGGACTACAAGAATGGTGCCAAGCGAGCTTCCTTGGGAAGGCTGTTCCATAACCCTCTCCTTGCTGACTACTCCGTAGAGGTAACTTGGTAGTCTTAGCTCTGTGGTTCTCTTCTTTTGCTATGGCTCCTAGCAGTGCTATTTTCTAGAAAAAGAGGTGCTGGAACTCACCATGAACACCCCCCCCCCCAGTTCCCTTAGAATGGCAATGACACCCATCTGAGAAGTGCCGGAACTGAGTTCCCCCGAGTTCCTGCTAAAAATAGTTCTGGCTCCAGGGTCATCATCTGCCCTTCTGGGGAAATATTAAATTTTTGCATAGTGCAAAAGAACCCACGTGGCAGGCCGTAAGTCTTCTAAACAAACAGACTGTAGTGTCGTATGCACCAGAGCTTGGACTTCAGAGCTCATTCCAGTCACAAACTCTGTATCAGCTCTCATGTGAGGCTAATATTATCCTGCTTGAATAATTAGCATTTATATAAAAGTATTAATATTGGTGCCAAACCTCTATAGAATAGATACTGTGTCTTTAGCCTTTCTCATCATTTAAAGTCATCTGATAAGACTGCCATCTAGATGGATAGAGACTGAGCTTTTTCAAAGCAAGACTTTAAATTTAATGGGGGAAATGTCCCTCTGAACATTTACTCTCCCAGGAGAATATTTGCACCTTGCACTGCTTCTGAGCTGGCCAGGTTGCTTCTTCGCCTTGGTTTTCTTTTCCCCCATCCCATCTGTTTGTACTGTCTTCAAGCATTCTTGTCTCCAGATGGTATCTGCTCCTCTTAATAAATGAGTCTAGTCTCTCCCCGTTGATAAAAATCTGTCATTCTACTTGGTCTTATCTCAACCACGGTGGAACAAAAGAGATAGCGGGAGGCAGAGATCCGTAGATGTTATTTTCATTCATCCCATTGGCATTTCAGCTTTTGACTTTCCAAGCAACTCTTCAGCAGCTTGTCAAAGTTTCAAGACAAAGGGAGCACCTAAGCTGAGAAAGGAGAGCTCACCTTCTCTGAAAACAGCCTTGTGGCTATTAAAATGTAGGGATTTAATCAATCAATCGATTATACCGCCCTTCATCTGAAGATCTCAGGGCGATTTACAGCATAAAAATGCAAAATAAAAAGACAAAATGCATAATAAAAACAAGAACAAAACAAACCCATAAGCCCCCCCCCAACTCCCACATGCGTTCTGTTCCATCCATGAAGTTGTACAGTACTAGCATTCCCACCTAATTATGTACAACCAGTTCCCAGGGTTCTGGCACATTCTAGCCATCATGGCACCCTCCAAATGCTCTTGCACAACAACTTCCATTGGGGATCTTGAGAGCTGTAGTCCAAGAATATGATTCCTGGATCAGGATAGCTTGAGCACAATTGATCGTGCATTGGTAACTTCACAGCTGGGTTACTGCAATGCACTCTGTGTGGGGATAGCCTTGGGGTTGGTCCAGAGGCTGCAGCTGATGCAGAACGTGGCAGCTAGGTTGTTTGTGGGGGCAAAGTACCACCAGTGTATATCACTTTGTTTGTAGGAGTTGCATTGGCTGCCAATCTGCTACTGGACAAAGCTCAATGTGTTGATGCTAACACAGAAGTCCTTATACAGCTTGGGACCAGGTTGCTTGAGAGACTGCCTTCCACGCCCAATAGATTGCTGCAGTCTGTGGGAGACTTTCTCCTGTAAGTGCCAAAGATTTCAGAAGCCCTTTCCACAGTAATGTGAAAGAGCAGGGTTTTTAGTGTGGCTCACCCTGTTCTGGGGAATAGCATTCCTGTCGAGATATGACAGAAACTCACTATCTGCACTTTGCAGAAACAGTTGAGGACATTTTTGTTCTGAGAGGCTTTCCCAGCAGATAAATGGGTCTTTGCAGGGAGTGTCTTATTTTAAACATATTTGCTGTTTTTGTGTTTTTAGCTGTTTTTAATTATCTTATGTACACATCACCTTGAGACAGTGGTTTAGAAAACAATTAATAAATACATCATCATCATCATCAACAACAACAACAACAACAACTGCTTCGTTGCTTTCAGGTGGTGGTTTAGAATGCGATCAATAAATCAATAATAGTAGTAATAGTAATAACAGTAATACTAATGATAATAATAAACAGCTGGAGGGCACTACATCAGCTGTCCCTGCTGTGGTGTGGCCAAACAATATAGGATCAAGATCCACAGACAGGAGCAAACACGGCTTTCAGTAGCTCTCCTGCTATATCAGTGATAGGTAGATGTTGGAATAAAGGCAAAGCAAAGAGAAGGTTGCATTAAGTAAATAGCACATGAAATCGCAAACATAAATCTCCCTGGGAAGCGAGTTTGTGCAGGGGAGAGTGAGAAACAAAAGACATGGGGATATCACCAGATGTATAGTGGACTTGAAATGGGAGAGAGGCCCTCGGCCTGTTTCTGAATGCAGTCAGTTTGCTTTTACTCTATTTTCCTTGCAGTTTGCATCTCATGCAGCCCTTGTTTTGGTTGGGACATATCTTTTACCATTCATGAAGTGTTCATATTTCATGAGGAGATTTGGGGGGAGGGGGAACCTACCCCTCTTTTTTTATTTATAAAAGACTCCGCCTTGCGGTTCAAATGCTTACCGGATGCCGTATTTTTCAATTGAATTGTAACAGGCCAATTCAGATTGCTGGGAACATATATTAGTTTTGAAAGATTTAATTTAGCTTTCCGATGCAAAGCTGGTTGGAAATGTACGGTTCTGCGCGCCAGGAGGAAAAACGCAAAACGAGGGAAACTAAACTATTTCTGTGCTGTTTAGTTTTCTGTTCCCATTACCTGAAGATTAATAGATGCAGAGATGGGGGGGGTTGCAGTTCCAGCTTTTTTTATTACTTTTTCATCTAAATGTTAAGAGGTGTGAACCGAGCAGCGTATAATTCCGAGGAGTGCTTTGTCAAGCAGAAACCTGGTGGTTTTTTTTTATTAAGCTGATGAATTGTTTTAATTAGTTACCAGAATCCTCCGAAGAAGCACATGACAGCTACAGAACTTGGCAATTTTTAGTCACAACATTATGCACTAATCGCTTCTGCTGATAACAAAACAAAGGCGGTGAGGGAGGGAGGAGAAATTAGGAAAGCCAAAATAATGATTTTTTGTGAGGATTCCACATTGTACTTCTGTCCCAGATTGTCAAGGAGGGTCTCTTCCAGCAGAGAGGGTGTGGGCGAGACAGTCTGTGTACATAAAGCAAGGGTGGAGAATTTCAGACCCAGGGAAGGGATGCGGCCCTTGAGGTTTGTCTATCAGGCCCTCAGGAAGCTTACTTAGGCTGAAACCTGCCACCAGCCCTGCTCTGCACCCTCCTTCAGTACTTTTGCCTGACTGAAATGTGTATTTGGACTTAATCGTGCCTCTTGCTTGTCTCAATGGAGATATGGGCAGGATATAGAAACCTCTGGATTCTTCATGACTGTAATATAGCCTGCAGTCCAAAGCTAAAAGCCACACCCATTGCCCCGCCATCCTTTCTCCATTGCATGTGGCCTCTAGAAGTCTGCCTGAGATGGAATGTGGCCCTCAGACTGAAAAGGTTCCTTACTGCTGATATAAAGGATGTGCACATATCATGTTGTTGTTGTTTAGTTGTTTAGTCGGTCCGACTCTTTGTGACCCCATGGACCAGAGCACGCCAGGCACTCCTGTCTTCCACTGCCTCCCACTGTTTGGTCAAACTCATTTTAGTAGCTTTGAGAACACTGTCCCACCATCTCGTCCTCTCTTGTCCCCTTCTCCTTGTGCCCTCCATCTTTACCAACATCAGGGTCTTTTCCAGGGAGTCTTCTCTTCTCATGAGGTGGCCAAAGTATTGAAGCCTCAGCTTCAGGATCTGTCCTTCCAGTGAGCACTCAGGGCTGATTTCCTTAAGAATGGATAGGTTTGATCTTCTTGCAGTCCATGGGACTCTCAAGAGTCTCCTCCAGCACCATAATTCAAAAGCATCAATTCAGCGATCAGCCTTCTTTATGGTCCAGCTCTCACTTCCATACATCACTACTGGGAAAACCATCACTTTGACTATACGGGCCTTTGTTGGCAAGGTGATGTCTCTGCTTTTTTAGATGCTATCTAGTTTTTTTAAGATGCTGTCTAGGTATGCTGTCTATGAACATAGCATACCCTCTGATGAAAATAGGGACATCCTATTCCGGTAACGATAATTTGACTATTTATACCTCTGAGTGGGTTGCCCCAGCCACTCTGGGCTGATTCCAACATATATACAAAACATAATAAAACATTAAACATTAAAAAAAAACCACACCTATACAGGGCTGCCTTCAGATGGCTTGGGGGTTGGATAACTCCATGCTCTCCAACAGAAAATAGGGACGTCCTAAGGAAAAACAGGACGATCAGGGATCAAATCAGAAACTGGGACAACTTCTATAAATCTGGGACTGTTCCTGGAAAATAGGAACACTTGGAGGGTCTGATACAGGGATTACCTGGTAGAGCCACTATCTCCTACCCATCTTCTGCCCACGCCCCTACTTCTTTGACCGCTTTATCTATGCTGCTTTTGTGATCTCTGCTTGTGTGTCTGCCCAGCTCTTAGCTTTTCTGTGTGCCAAGCACAATGGTCTCTCGCCTTCCATTTCCAACCAATAGCACAGAGACCCTCTTACCCCTCCCCTCACTCCCTCAACAGTGTCTGAGGTTTTGTCCAGCCAAAGTGGCCTTTCACTTCCACTGTGGAAACAGTCAGCACTCTGTTGTGGGCAGATATCCTCTCATCTCCCACGTAGCAGAAATGTTTGTGAGCATTCTGTGGCATCCGACAAGCTCAACTACCGGCTGTAGGGGATTTGGCGTTGGGAATGCAGATAAGAGGTGTCTTGAGAGTGTGTGTGTTTCACTCGGTTATCCGTGCCCTGAAATGATGCGGTTTAATAATCAGATGCCTTCTCTTTCCCCTTCCCACTGGTGCTTCTCATTAATACCTGTCTCTCCTCTTGTCAGCTGTCACCCTCTGTCTGGAGAATGCAACTGCAAAGCCGGCTGGGCAGGACTCTACTGCAATGACACCTGTCCTCCGGGATACTACGGCGAAAGCTGCCAGCTTGCCTGCCGCTGCCAGAATGGAGCAGATTGTGATAGTATTACAGGGAAGTGCTCCTGTGGCCCAGGATATATGGTAAGCCCTGGGGGGGGGGGTTGCACATTTTGATTAAGTGGTCAGAACACTGGAGAACTTTCCCCTGATATTGTCAGTATTTTTTATTCCACCTCAGAGTTCTATCTGAGCCCCTTTGGAAAGGAGAGGGCGATAAATACAGAAAGCTAGTAATGGCAGGAGCAACTGTAGAAGCAGCCTTATACTATTGGTCCCTCTAACTTAGTATTGTCTACACTGGCCGGCAGCAGCTCTCCATCTTTCCAGACCTGCCTGGAAATGCCAGGGATTGAGCTAGAGACCTTCTGCATGCAAAGCGGGTGCTCTGCCACTGAGCTATGGCCCTTCCTTGTGGCGTATTTCAAAACATAGGAATCTAACTTCTACCAAGTCAAAGCATTGGTCCATCTAGCTCAGTATTGTCAGCACTGACTGGCAGCAGCTTTACAGGGCTTCAAAGAGAATCCTCATCCCGACTTTCTGCCACTTAACTGCAGCCTTTCCCCAAAGCTCTGCTTGTGTTTTCTATGTTTGTCTGTTGCTATTTTCAATCAGTAATCAGTATTTTTACTTACATGTTGGCATCCGTCTCTCTAGGGAGACAATGGAGTAGTGCGCCTTTGGGGGTGAGGTTAGACTGTTGGGTGGTTGCAGCGCCTGCTGTGGCTGTAGAGACTGATGTAGGAGAGATATGTCTTGTTGCAGCTGGGGCAGATGAAGGCGTCCAGTTGTGCTGCTGCAGATGCACCATGGCATTTCTTCTCTCTGCGCTCTGCCCAGTGGTCATTCCTCCTCCGATCACTGCTTTGGATACTTGCAATAATAGAAATAAAGGAGAAGGGTTTTTAACTGAAATTAGAACAAAAACTTGAAAAAGTTTTTGGGGACACAAATGTTTTGCTTTGGGTAAAATAATTATTGGGGAGGAAAGAGGTTTCTGATTATTAAATTGAATTGTGCTGTTATATCTGTGGGGCCTCTGCAAAAATTCTGGATCTCTGGTCTCCTGTTTTCAATTAAAGCAGATAGAAGAAGATGGAAACTGGGTGGGAAGGACGAGGTGTGTTTTTTGGGGGGGTATATAATTTTTTTGTGGCTGTTAGCTGGGCAAGGAGTGAGCTCACTGGGTCACAGCACATAATGTTCCTTTGTGGGGATGGGGGAGGCAATGTTGTTTTAGTGAAAGCATTCAAGCCACCCTATATGCTATTGAATATGTGCAAGCGTACCCTTACATATATATGTCGCTCCCTCTTGAGATACCAGTTCTAGGGGGTTCCGCTACCCACTTCTCAGCAGCATCGGGTGGCAATCCCATAATGCCGGTTGCTTAGCAAGTCAGGCTGCACATCAGATCCAAGCCACGTGCATCACTGGGCCGGAACATAACCAAGCACCAACTGAACAAATGAGAATGATTGTCTGCTGCTTAAGATCTTTCCCAGAACCACAAATTACCTTTCAGCTCCAATACACCAGGTGTAAGAGAAGCTTCTAACTCTCCACATCTCCAGAAAGGAGAGCTGTCAGAAGAGTCTGACTACCAAGGAGAGGGACCAATGTTTATTTTTATTGGGTCTGTCCCATTTCTTTACTGTTCATATTTTAAGCAGGGGCATGGCCCACAAGGCAGTGACATGCTGCAGGACATTCTCAGTGGTGGCCCCCCAGCTGCAGAACTCCTTCTTGATGGAGACCCAGTTGTCCCCCATGTATGCTACTTTAGATGGCTGCTTAAGACCTTTTGTTCAGGCCTTTGGCACATGTCTGGATGGGAGAGCCTTCTATCTGCTGCCCATCATGTTGCATTTTATTGTTTTTTTCTGTATTGTTGCTTTTATGCTATTTTTCCCCGGATTAGCTGCCTTGGGCTCTATTTGGGAGGTGGGATATGAGACTCAAATAAGAGCAACAATAACAACTTGTTATATGAAAAGTGGAGGGGCATGGATGTTAGAAGCTGATACACACATACCCTGCCACCTGAGCTGCCCATGCTCCACCACTTCAGGCAAATGTCTATGTTACCAGGATCACTTCTGGTATCTAGATGGCATGTGGGAAAGGAGATGGGGTGATCAGCTGCTAGGAAGGGAGGTACTGTATGGTGGAACCAGATGTCAAAGAGAACTACCAAACTTTTAGAAGACATCTGAAGGCAGCCCTGTTTAGGGAAGCTTTGAATGTTTGATGCATTACTGTATTTTAATATTTGGTTGGAAGCCACCCAGAGTGGCTGGGGAAGCCCAGCCAGATGGGCGGGGTATAAATAAATTATTATTATTATTATTATTATTATTATTATTATTATTATTATTATTATTATCATCATCATCATCAACTCCCTTCTGGTGTTAAATGTAAGTGTTGCTCATAGGACCTCCCACTTTGGTTCTTTTTGCATATGTTTATCAGATAGTCAAAATAACAACACGTTTGTTTCAAGGCAACATTCTTGAAAAGGTTGATTAGGCTCTTCTGGCCCATTTTGAAAATAACGTTTCATCTCCCGCTAAAGAGCTTTCTCCGCACTGACATTTAAACAGCTTGGTTATTGAAGATAGCACCATAATCACTGGAGCATATTTAGGCATTAGTATCATTGCGCTCTCATAATATACAATAATCTCTGGCAATTAGTCCAGGAGGGGTTGTTAAGCCTGGGAATTGCTAATTTATTGTGGTGGAAGTGTGTTTGTCATGCATAGGATGAGTCGGAACACAAGACATCATCTTACACAGAGTTACTGAGCTGTCAGGAATTGCTAACTCTCAGAGCTAGAATTAGCCACGGCCTCTGAATCAGAGGGGACCTCCAACATTTCCCATGACCAGGGGGAGACAGAGGGAAACCTCGAGATAATTCCCCAGGACAGTGTACCACCCAGGGAACTGGTGGAATTGGGGAACATTAAGGGCCCTGAGTGCACTCATCTGACAACTCTGCATCTCCCCACAGCCACCACCATGTCTTCAAGAACAGTGGTGGCAATGAGCCCCAAAATGAAGTTCATTCTTAAGGGCAGCACAAGACATCCCATCCCAGAGATGGGCCACAAGCATGGTTGGGATTAGGGCTCTATAACTACACTAGGAAGGATAGGGCAGCCAGGCTGAGTTCTTGAACCCTACGTTGTTGCCTGAAAGCCACTGTTGCAGCAGCTTCCATACGCCTGCTCTTAGCTTAACAGTCTTGGTCCATAGCCCCTTCCATCACCACGAAAAGGCAACAAGACGATGGAATCAGGCTCAAGACTGCCCCAACCAGCTCTGTGCTGGATCAATGTCAGGACTTGGTCGGAGCCTGGGAAGCTGCATCAGAGAACAGAAGCAATAGTTCAGGACCATGGACAACAATCTTGTAGCTGGGAGCAAGTTGTCTCGGCACTGGAATCCTGAACAGGAGCACTCTGTGCCGCAACATTTTGTTGCAGGCCCTACTTGTGAGAGCCTACCAGCCCAATCCTTTTATAACCCACCATCAGGATGAAATGGTGCAATCCACTCTATCACCTCGTTCTGCTGCATGTACGGGCTTGCACCTTTCAGCTGAAATCAACACACCTCTCGGCCCAAATCCTCAAAGTATTTATTGACTTCCCTTCAGCTTTCCCAGTTAGGTTCTTGCTCTTCATCTACTGTGTTTCTAGTATTTGAAAATAGCTGCCCAACCCCACTGAGCTGTCCCCCCCCCAGTAGCAGTTGGCTTGGGGCAGCAACATGCACTTACCCTCCCAACAGTTGCATCACTGCTACTTACTGGGAAGGACAAGGCTGAGGGGAGGTTGGCACAGTTCAACACAATGCATTTGCATCATGCCAACCTCCCTGGTACCGCCACCTTTTCCTTCCTGGTAAGTATCCGTAACTTGTTTATCCCAAGCTCAGGTGAGCATCACTGCTCCACCGCACAGTCTGCTGTGGCTTTTTCCAAAGAAACAGAGTGTTTGCTTTCTTCCTTCTCTAATTGTGGTGTTATCCAAGAAGCTGCCAACATTTCAGCGGCCATGACAAGGAACTGTTGAAAAAATAAAATAATGTGAGAGAAATAAAATAATCAGGTGCTGTGCAGCAGGCTGACCTGAAAGAGGATCTTGTGCGACCATTTCTTTCAGGAGTGTTGCACCAAAGTCACAAAGCACATCTCAGAGTGTGTGGGAGTTTATAAAAGGGGATAGCACAGAGGGGTTGCCTTGAGCATTTCATATCCTGGGTTACTGTCTACAAAAGGGCCATCGCCCCAACGTATGACCAAGCAGAGTTGGATTCTGCTGTCAGCAAAGCCAAGACGACTGTGAATGGCACCAAGAGAAAAGAGGGGTGGGAGGGCAATGCTGCCTCTTTGTTCAACGGACCAGCATCTATTTTAAAATAGAAGAAGCTGAAGAAGATGCAGCTGCGAGGAGGGGAAAGTGATTACAAGCAGATTTGCACCTTTATCAAACACACACAGCCTTCTGTGCAGATCCTTCCTTAGTTTCCTGACCAAAGCATTTAGGGTGAAATGGGGTTCTTAATAGGCACAAATATGCCTTCGGAAGAGGCATTTGGAGAGAAAAACATCCTTGGTCTCCAGATGGCTCTGCATTCCTAAATGTGCCTGAGCTGAGTTTAGCACTGAGAGGTCAGGAAGTTCAAATGCTTCTTTTCTTTAATTTTGCCCTTGCCAGGTAAAGTTCAGGCTTATGCTGAAATGAGGTCAGAATCTGCCTTCCTGCTAGAATAAATTCCAATTATTTTCCTATTGTACTTTTTAAACAGGGAGGGTGCAGCATCTTTTGACTGCCATAATTGAGGGGGGAAGAGAGTGAGAGAGCAGCCTCTGCATGACAATGGGGTCACCTGTAATTCAATTCACAAGTTTAGATTTTGAAAACAACAGTCCCTGATAAACATTCTGGGAGACTTGGGGAAGGGCCATAGCTCAAGGGTAGAGACTCGACCTTGCAAGCAGAAAGTCCCAGGTTCAGTCACCAGCAAATCCAGGTAGGGTTGGGAACCCTGGTTTCCTGCTGCCAGGC